TGACCCAGCACTGATTGCCAAGGGGGCTATGAATCAGGCCGAAAGAGAGAGGCAGGGTCTGATCTACAGCCTCCATGGCAGCTGTTGATCATCTATTGTCTCTCTCTCTTTGGGCTTCACCAGCAGCCACACCTCTGTTTCTCTTTGGGCATCTGTGGGGGCTGCTGATCAGCCCAGCCTCTCTGATCAGGCCAATAGATAAGCCTGGAGATGCTGACTGGCATAGAAACTGACCAATCAGAAGCAAATTGGCTTGCAGGAGAGGGCAGTTGGGGGCAATCAGGAGGGTAGGGGAGGGCAGTTGGGGGCAAGATCAGGTTGGCAGGGGAGGTCAGTTAGGGATGATCAGGCAGGCAGTCAGAGAGGTTAGGGGAGATCAGGCAGGCAAGCAAAGGCAGTTAGAAGCAATTAGGCAGGCAGGCAGGTGAGCAGTTAGGAGCCAATGGTCCCATATTATGAGAGGGATGTTTGTTCGACTGCAGGTTTAGGCCCAATCCTGCACCGGCAGCTGGACATCCCCCAAGCGGTCCCCAATTGAAGAGGGTGCAGGCTGGGTTAAGGGAACCCCCACTCTGTGCACAAATTTTGTGCACCAAGCCACTAGTGTAATAATAATCACAGCCAACATTATTCTAAGCACTTTACATATGTTCATGTATTTCATTCTCAAAATAATGTATAAAATAGGTGCCATTATTATCTTCTGAAGATTAATTAATTTCACATTGAGGCACAAAGAGTTAAAGTAACTTGTTCAAGGTAATATAGCTCACCTTCCACTTACATTGTATTTTCTATGTTTAGGAAATACAGTTCATTTCTCACAGAAAGTTTGAAGTTTCCTGTACAATACTTTATCTAGTAAATATTATCTCTTCAAGCACCTATATTTCTTGACAAAGTACTGAAAGCATTCACAAACTTGAATCTAGCTTAATTAGCTTACTATGTCATGTCTAAAATATATCTTTGATCTTATGTGTCCTTACATTTTACAAATTTTATGCCACACTATTCTACAATAATATTAATGCATAATCTTGACTATGTTAATCAATAAGATACATTCTAGGAGTAGGTAGCAGGGTGAATGAATGTTAATTACTTCAAATGTCTTAATTAACTCCTACTGCTAGTGATACAGCAATTAACATTTTAAAATGTTACAGAAGATACATCAGTTTTCTATTGGGTCATGTTGTTGAGCATTACTGAAATCCCATGAAACGGGGAGGTTGAGAATATTCAAAGACTTCTAATCTCAATGAGAAAAACAACTAAAACTAAAGTTGTAGACTCATGGCAGCATATTTCCCTCACACACACCTGCTTCCTGGGTAATTGCTCCTTTCCCTCCTGTCCCCAGGTCACTCTGCACACCAGGAGGCACAGCATGATAATAATCACTTCTCAAGGCACTTGAGGATATTCATCTAGCACTACTGAGGGAGTCAACCTTTCCTTCACTTTTCTAAACCTTCTGTTTCTGAGCCCTGGGAGAGAAATTATGGTGGGTGCTTATTACTAACCAGTCTGGACCTGATGAGAACCGAATGCAGAGACCAGAGTAATAAATAGAGCCAACTCAGAAGCTAGCTCCTATGATAAATTAAAGATAGCTACTCTTTTTAAAAAGGGCAGATCCCAGAGGTAGAGTCCATTTCCCCTTCTCTTGAGTCTGAGTTGGTCCTGTGGCTTGGTTTAATCAGGAGAAGTCAGCAGACATGAAACTGTCACTCCCAAGGTTGAGCCTTAAGATTTGTGACATCTGTGACTTCTGCTTCCTTAGAATCCAACCCAATATTGTGAGATGTCCAAGTCATATATGAAGAGAACTAAAGCACTAGTTGACAACCCCAACTGAGCTCCCAGCCAACTGCCAGCACCAAGAACAAGTGAGACATGAGGCGATTAAGCCTTCGTGGATGTCTCAATCCAATCAGACCTCTGGATGAAGTCAGCTCCAGACTAATGCCACAGGTGCAGAACCTCCTAGCTGACCTCCATCAACCCAAACTCTTAAGGGGCAATAACTGATAGTTGTTTACACCACTAATTGTTTGAGATGGTTTGTTACGCAGCAATAGATAGCCAAAGCCTTTCTAGACCATCTTAGAGATCAGGCTGAAACCAGTTGCTGCTTGCCTCAAAAATGTGAGATTGGCTACAATGGAGCTAAGAAGAACCCTTTCCAGTATAAAGCATGGTGGCTAAGACCATGGACCTAGGAACCAGACTAAGTTTGATTCCTGATTTTGCCTTCTACTAGCTATGTATCAAGTGGAAGCTACTTTACTTTTCTTTGCTTCTGTTTCCCTTTGTGTAAAGTACAGATAGTAGTAATATTCCCTATTTCTTGGGTTTGTTATGAAGAATAAATATCAATATTGGTACATACATGTAGAGCACTTAGAACAGTGCCTGGCACAGAGTAAGAACTCAGAAAATGTTCTCTCTTATTATTATTTATTTTCTAGTCGGTTTTACATCCAAGAAACTACCCGCTCAAAGCTATGTGAGGGCTCTATACTTGGGACAAAGGGATATGGAAAGTGAAGGTGAGGGCCACAGCCATGTCACAGTGACTGTAATAAATGCTAAAGCTTACTGACCTCACAGCAGCACAGGAGAAAAAAAAATAAAAACAGAGTAAATGCTCCGATTATAGGTCATTCATAACAGAAATGTCTGACAATTACTCAAACTTCATCTGAGGATAAACTACTCCCAGGTATAAGGATCTACATTTTGGGAACCTTGTAATAGATTTCTGATCATTAAGAGGATTGAGCTTTACATACATACCCTGCAGTCCTGGAAAGTTATTTTCTCTGTCATTATCTAAGCTGTCATCACACTCATATCAACTTTGTTTTTAAATATTATTTTCTAGGTCACTAAAACAAACAGGTCAGGTTACAGATCATAGCAGTATTTAGATAGGTCATAAAATTAATCCTTAATACTGGGTTAGTTCATTGTTTTGGTTGTTTATTGTTTTGTTCGGATTTTTTGGCCATATCATATACATACTCTGGAAAACTGCTTATTTTTAAATGTTAAATGTTTCTTAAATAAGTGAAATATAGTTGTAATTCATTCATTTTACTAAGTTGTATTTTTATCCCAGAATATTCTCTTTTATAGTTTAAAATTATATAAGGATCTATATCTACTTTCTTCAAAAGTAATCATCCCAAATGAATTAATACATAAATTTAAGCTTTTAAAATATTGGTATTCTATCTCAGCTCTTGAACATCCAATTACAGCACTTTTCATGGGATTTTTTCACTAGAGCCCCAAAGCTCTCTATTTGTCATTTCCCCATATTAATTCACAAAATTATTATAGATTCAATTATACTACTCATATTCTGACCTTTGGACATGGTTCCATCTGTTTTTCAAGACAACTATGATGGATCCATAAATTTATACCCAAGGAGCTCAACAATTAGAAGATCTGGGAAAATGTGTCAGGTTCATGCCTAGCTTCAGCATGATAACATCACTCATCTACATTAGTTATTCTTTTCAAATTATTTATAAGCCTTAGGTCAGCTTGAAAGAAATTAATATTTTCATTTCATGCCTGATAATCCTGCCTTAACTGATGACAATCAAGATGCAAATTAATTGCAAATTATGTGAAGGATACATAAATTAAGAACTATGAAATTTAAATTATTAATGCAGTAGTAATTCAGCTTTCAGGTATCTTCTGCAAACAATAACAAATTCACCTATTTTTATTCTACTCAATGCAAACTAAACTTGATTTTTTTTTAAATGTTTTTATTTATATCAGAGGGGAAAAGAGAGGGAGAGAGAGAGAAACATCTATGATATGAGAGAATCATTGATCAGCTGCCTCCTGCACATCCCACACTGGGGATCAAGCCCACAACCTGGGCATGTGCCCTGACAGGGAATCAAATCATAACCTCTTGGTTCAACCACTGAGCAACACTGGCTGGGCTAAATTTGGTATTTTAAATAGAAGCATGGAACACTAGAGGTTATGATTTTCTTTTCTTCCTAACTTTTCAATCCCTCTTTTTTACACTTCCATTATCTCCTTTGTCTCTGTGCTTTGAACCCTACTCTTTTATGTCTGTTTAACTTTGACCCTATGTCAATTACACACTATTCTGCTTCAGTTTAAGATGTCATCCTCACTATTTTGTATTTTATGTTATTTACATCAGTGTTTTCAAAGGACTGAGTCAGTTCCACCACAAAAACAACAACAAAAGTTTGTTTTCCCAAGGGCATTTGCAGGTTTATGAATATTGTGCTATATTTGATTATACACAAAAAAAGTTTAATAATTTCAGTAATTTTATTGGGAGTAATTGCTGGGAATACTTCTGCATCTACTATATAGATGACCACAGCAAAGAATGTAAGTAAATCAAAAGTTAACCGTGGAAAAAAAAAAAAAAAAAAAAAAAAAACTTCCATGAAAAAGAAAGCCTAGTGACATGGAAAAAGTATCCAGATTAGGACTAGGTTCTATTCATTATTCTTTGAATAAGAACACAATCAAAGTTTCTAGACTAGTAAAGTTTTGCTTTACTTGCATTTGTTTTACATAACTTGAGCTCATCCAGGTTTTCAATGCTTAAATTAACAAAGTATTTCTAAAATAAACTGTGAACATTTCTAACTAATAAAATTGATTTAATTGGGATATAAGACATTTTACCAACTTTTCTTTTTAGAAACAAAGATGGGTACAATTTCATCAACAAATAAAATATTAATAAAGGAAACCATTTGATAAAATGTATTTTGAGTTTCTCAGATACAAATGTCACGGAAGTCTTAAAGAACGTCTCTACAAATTCTAAATCTTGATTTTACCATCATTTGTGTAAAACGTTTTTAAGTAGCTCATGCAAATAACCCTAGTAATACCTAAATTTAAGTGCACATGTGTTTAAGCAACATTATTTCGGGGGGGGGGGGGGGGGGGGAAATGTCACAAATGTTTACCTGGCAGGGTTGCTTCATTTTAATGGCTATGACATGGTATCTGTAACAGCAGAGCTCACAGGTCCAGGAGCCCCTCTCACTGATCCACTTTAGCAGGCACAGCTGATGTGTATATCGAACTGACCCGTCACATCGGCAGGGGTTCAACAGCTCCCCCTGAAAACAAAAGAGCTCAGTGTGAGCATTTGTATTTGTGTCTCGATTTTAAACATCTAACACCTGCTTTCTTCTCTTTCAAAGCCAGTTACCCAGGATATCTGCATCAAACTCTACCCTAGAAAATGAAATGAAATGTTTTTGCCTCTGATGAGAATGAAACTAAAGTCTTAAAACTCTTTCGAAGATACTGCTTAGGGTTATGACATAAATGTTCTACCCACATACAAACTGTCTGCAAAATGTAGCTCCCAATACTCCTAGGGGAGAGCTGTACTATTAAATCTCTTTAATAACTTTTAAGTGGATGGTCAGATGCATTTCCTCTGCAGTTATTCTTAATCATTGCTAAAGGAGAAATGCATGGCATCCCAGAAAGCAGCCTGCAATAGCATGAGGCTTTTATTTTCTTCTAAAGGTAGCATCATAAATATTGACTTGGGGCACCATATTCCCGAAAGCCTTCATAGTCTTATTGCAATTTCCTTACTTTTAAAAATATTAAACCTAATGTTTTCTCAGACCACGCATTTTGTAAGAGTAATATATTATCCCGATGTATCCATGAGTACTCTCATGTAAGTCTGCATGTAATATATTATCCCGATGTATCCATGAGTACTCTCATGTAAGTCTAATGGGGTTTATATTTTAGAACTGATCCTAATAAAATATAAAGTGTGAAGTTGTCTAAATAGCCTCTCTTTCACACAGGGCAAAAGTACATTCCTGTTTCTCCTGTGAAAGGGTAACATGCTTGTCACATCGTGAGATGAAGTCACCAAAATTTGCAAGAAGGAAAGACGCTGCCCTTCTGGTTTTGACATGACTCACCCCAGTTTGTATTCTAAGGCAATCTGCCTCAGGACACATTTGTAGGAAAAGGACATAGGTTTGTGTCTATGTATAGACCAAAATCCATTCCATAAATAAAAGATACTCATGGCGTTATCATTAAAACACCTGAGGAATGTGTAACTGATAAATCAGACTGGGGGGGGGGGGAGAAAGATTCAGATCAAATGAAACCCTGAATTCATCACCGGGACATTTCCATCTGCCTTACACAGAAATGGAAAGGGGAACACACAGTATACACCTCTCACTCAGTCCAGGGACCAGACCAGCCACACAACGGTGCCACCCAGAAGCCGGCGCTGTCCGTGGTGCTGAAAGGTCGGCCGTCGCGAGAAACAGCAGACAGGACAGACAGACTATCCTCGCCCGAGCCCCCCACCGTGGCTGCCCCGGCTCCCTTCCGCCGGGCCCTACCTGCTCGGCGCCCTGGAAGCAGATCTTGCAGATGGGCTGGTGGTGCTGGTGCTGGTGCTCGGCACGCTGGTCGCCGCCGCCGCCAACGCCGCCGCCGCTGCTGCTGCTGCGGCTGCTGCACATCGAGCGCGTCTCGGGCTGCTCACCGGCGCCCTGCCGCTCGCCCTCTCCGGCCTTCGGCTCCCCGGGGCTGCCCTTCCCCGCCGCCGCTTCGGGGACCGCCGCCTCTGGAAGGCTCCTCGGACCTTCCCCGTGGTCGCCAGCCACCGACACCTCCTGGCCCGCGGGTGGCAGGGGCGGCAGCTCGTCCGCGCCCCGGCGCCGCGGGGCCACCCCCGCCGGCGGCTCGTCGGGCTCCGCGGGGCGCTCGGGGGTCGCGGGCGGCGCGGGCAGCGGCGGCGGGTAGCGCGGGGGCGAGGAGGGCACTGAAGTCGGTTCCCCCGGGGGCGGCGGCGGCGGCGGCGGCGGAGGTGGCTCGGCGTCCCCGCTCTCTGCCCCGCGGCACCAACTGCTGCCGGGGCCGCCCTCCGAGCTCATGGTGGTGCCGCCGCCGCCCTCCGGCAGCCCCGCTGGAGGGCCGGGCTGGGGCCGCCGCCGCAGGGAGAGCGGAGCCGGAGGGGAGGAGGAGGAGGAAGGGTGGGGGACCGGGGCTGGGGCTCCGGGGGCGGGGGCGGGACGGGGAGGGGACGCGGAGGGCCCGGCGGTGGCGGCAGAGGCTGCTGCTCCCGGAGCCGCCGGCTCGGCTCTGGCGGAGGCGGCGCCGGGATTCGGCTGCGCGTGAGAGCCGCGGGGGCGGAGGCACCGGGCGGAGGGCGGAGCCGCGAGCGGAGCGGTGGGCTGGCGAGGAGGTCTGAGGAGGGACCTAGCGTGGAGCCCGTGAGAAGGGGCGGAGGGGGCGTTCCGGGCTGGGAGTGAGGTGCGGGGAGGACCCGCCTGAATTCGGGGGCGGGGGAATCCCTCAGACCCTCCACCGACCCCGCCCCGAGCGCTCACGTTGGTTCCGGGGCGGACTACCCCTCCAAACCGCGCGCCACTGCGGCTCTCGAGGGCCGGAGGAGTTGGGGGTGGGGGAGGGGGAGAGAAATCGTCGTAAGCCACCGGACCAGAAACCGTTACCGGGTGGGCGAGTGGGACGCGGGGGCGCTGGGCGGGGTGAGACCGAGCTGGGGACTCGCGTGGGGCGGGCACCCAGGTCGCGCCCAAGCCCGCTGAGCTGAGGGCGCGGGAAAAGGGCGCGTGGAACCTGGAGATGGTAACGGCCTCCCCCCTGGGACTGCTCCCTGCCCTCCCAGCCCTCTCCCTCAAGGGCACGCTCACTGTGCCACCAGAGTCCTAAAAGCAGAAGTCTCTGGAACCCGTGTCCTCCCTCTATCTTCTTGGCCTCCCTCCCGGCTGCAGTGAGTATCCGGATTTATTCGTAAATATCTTGGTGACATTGTAAGTATCTTGAGTCGTTCCGTGGAGTGGTTCCTCTTAGTGCCACGGTCTGTGGCGAGTGGTCACTGTTACCCTTGTTGTGTAGAGGACTCAAGTGACGCCTCTCCTCCCCTTAAAGTGTCTGCAACCTCGGATCTCAGTTTTACTCACCCCAAAGAAAGCTGCTCTGCAAGTCCACTCCGCAAAACCTCTCTGGGGCTCATCTTCCGGCAGAACCACAGTCCCCTGTGTTCTTTTCTGAAAATAAACTCAAGCCTGCAGGGAAGTAGATGAGACCCGTGCACATCTCGTACAGTGTAAAATCACAAAGCATTGGATTTGTGTGCTGCAGTGTGTCTACCAGTGTGAATCTCTAAATCAATGATGACTTTCACCAGTGAAACACTTTTAAGGTCTGGGCTACAGCAGACTCGCATTGGACAGTCATTTGGGCTGCATTGAACAGCTGAAGACCAGATAGGCAAAGTAACTTGTTCAAGGTCATAGGACTGTTAACAAAGAACTTTTGAGCTCCCTGGCTGCAGATTTTCTGGCTCAAACATAATTATCTCTTCCCCCTCCTTCCCTCAATCTTCTCTCCTGCTTCCTAAAAAACAGTATTGCAGTACATGTGTTTGACAGCACTGATTCCTGTTAACAGTTAGATGTTCTGAAATGGTCGAAATAAACTACCAGCTTAAATTAATAATTGTTCCATTATGCATTTTTGGCAGTAAAAAAGTATAGTTGGTTTTAAAATAAATGCCCCAGCTCTTTTGATAGAAATTGGTTTGGTTGGAAAACAGAGAAAGAAAGTAGTAAAAAAGAAGTCAAGAGAGGTGTCACAAATGGTCCCAAACGAAATAGTTGCCAGGAATGTCCTCTAACACTTAGCCCCCCTCAAACTAGCTTATTTTTTGTAGCAAAGTGGCAGGCAGCAAGCACATTTTTAAAATAATAATCCTTGAATGACCTAGGAACTTATCACATTGAAGAAATGTGGTTGTAGATATGCTTTCATTTTCCATCATCACCTGTCAAAATGACATTGCACAAGTCTGTATATTGCCAGTCTTACGCTATCATAAGCCTTGATTTTAAGTTTGTGAGATGAAAGATGTCTAAATTGCTTCTTTTTTAAAATCCCCTAAATAATTCAGTTTGTGACTAAGTAAGCTTCTACCAGGTGTAACAAAGTACATTATTATTTGAAGGACAGCATAAAAGCTGTGGATTCTGGCTAAACAATGCAGAATGACTCACCCAACAAAGTCACATGGTTTGGAGGCAACAGCCCCAGTGCTTGATGGTTTTAGAAAAATAACTCAGTTGATCGTTTTAGAAAAATAACTCTTGTAAGAAAAAATTAACTTTCCTTGATATGGTGAGTAACCACATAAAAACATTATCCTTTGACCTCCAGAGTTCATCACTCCCTGAAAAGAGAAATTTGTTCATGATCTTCCATTAGCTCAGTGAGTCTTCAATGGACCAAGGAAAAACACCTTTGTAACTGACCTTACCCTCTTCTGTAAAAATAGAGAATAATGGGGACACAGAACAGATGAACCACACTCAGTTGTTGGCACCCAAGTGGAAGAAATGATAACACACTGACACAGGATGAAGAACAGGGCACCCACGGGACTGGCAGCCATCCAACAGCTGATGTGCATACACCAACTAAAAAAACAAAACAAAAAACAATAAGGGGGCCAGTGGATGTGGCTCCATAGGTTGAGCATCGTCCCATGCACCAATAGGTTGCTGGTTGGATTCCTGGTCAGTGGGTTGTGGGTTCAATCCCTAGTAGGGGGCCTACAGGAGGCAGCCAATTGATGCTTCTCTCTTATCCATGTTTCTATGGGGGAAGAGCCAATTCTATCAATTTGAGCAAATACTACAAGTCACATCACTTCAACCTATGTAAGTTAGCAGAAAGATATAAATAATACAACAAATCCTTGAAAAGTTTCCATCCCCATGTCTCCCTTCTTCCACCACACACACACACACACACACAAATACACCACACACACACACACACACACACACACACACACACACACAATGAAATGTACCCTTCACCAAAAGAGGTTTTTCAATATGAAGATGTAAACCCTTTAAAAATCTGGATTTTCTTGAGTCGAATCCAAGCATAAGTGAAAGGAGGGAGGGGCCCAGGCAAGTATGTACAAAAAAGTATTTAATGACATTACTAGATATCTATTGTATATTCTCTTTGAACTTCCCTAATGACTACATCCTATTGGTGTCCCCTGGAGTCACTTCAGGGTTGTTAGATAGGAAACAATTCGGGCTACACTGGGTCAGATTGGTTTCAGAATGACCTTGGAGCTAAATTAGATATAATGACTTTGCTACATCCTCCACCAAGGGAGAGTTAGCCTAGGGAGCTCTTCAGAATTGCTTTTCAATTCTATTAAGTTTAGCCCTTATAGATGCTCCATAATTGTTCACTTGGCACCTTTGTGGGTACATGAACTTGTCCTTGTGGCCACTGAATACAATGCATAGAATCCTCAGTTGTTTTTCAAGTAGCTGGGAAGAAAAAAATTAAGAACTCTGTTACAGAGCAAGAGATTAAGTTGTGTGGGTGGGAGGGTATGATTTTTAAAGAGGGTGGCAAAGCACAATCTGTGTATTGTGAGTCCTCTATACAGAGTGAACTCAGTTGTACAGCTGAATAGAAGCAGTGTCTACACATAACATAGTGCCATGTGCAGACAAGGCCACCATGTATGTCTCCTATTCTAACCTCTCCACTGAACTCAAGACTTAGGTGTCACATTACCTCTTTGACTGCTCTACTTAGATACCTATCAGTCATTGCGAACTGACCCAGTCCAAAAGCAAACAACACCCCCAAACTTCTAGTTTCTCAGTCTTCATTATGCCAGTAAATCAGGTGTTTATCCAGTTGCTTGAACAAAAATCCTTGGAAACATCCTAGGCTTGAATTTTTCATATCATATAGTCAGTGTATTAAAAAATTCTTCCAAAGTTCACTACTGCTATTCAGCTTCACCCCCACCATCCCAGTTCAAACCACCATCATGGTGCCCCAACCCTATCAAAATAGCCCCCTGTCACCCTGTTTCTTACCCTTGAATCCATCTCCTATAGCAGCCAGGATGGTGCTATTCAAATGTAAGTCGTCATGTCATTCCCCTGGCTCAGTACCCAGCAATGGCTTTCCATCCCATTTCATGCAACATCAAAAATCTTAGCATGTCCTACAAGTCTTCACTATTTCCTGGTACATCTCTGAAGACACCTCCATACCTCCTCACCACCCTGTCTCCCATCCCTGCTATTCCTTCCTGCCCTGGGCTGAACTTAACTATTCCTTTTCCCTCATCTTCCATTAGTTATGGCTCACTCCATCTCTTCTCTTAGATTTTTGCTCAGAGAAACCTCATAAAAAAGATGACTCCTCCACTTCAATTTTAACTCTAACCATTGCCCAGTTTTACTCTTTTCCATATTGATTTACTATTAACATTATACATTTATATAGTGTGCATTTTTGTTTGCTCCTAAAAATCTAACATCTTTACCAAAACACTGGCTTCATCAAATAATTGGGGTTTTTCGCTCCGCTGTTGCCAGTACCTAGAACAGTGCCTGGTCCTAGTAGTGCACAGCCGGTACTTATTGAACAAATATATGAATGATTCAGGTGATCAAGCTGGTAATTATTAATCAGCCTCTGTGTTGAAGGCATGGTGCAGCTCATTAAACTGTAGTTTCCAGGTGGGAATGCAATCTGTAAGACAAAGATGCAGTCATAGCATTTTGATGTGCTCCATGTCAGCGGTCGCCAACCGGTGGTCCTCGGACCACTGGTGGTCCATGAGGTCCGAAAGGTTAGCAACTGCTGCTCCATGTGATACAAATTAACTAAAACTATTCTGTTCTCTTAGTAATTTGTCGTTGTTACCGAATTAGTCATTTGCTACCACCATATATAAGAAAAGTCAAAGTTTTGGTTGACTTAATCTCACACTAGAAAAAAAGACAGCAGACATCTGAAAATGCAACAAAGATGTCAGAAATTTGAAAATATATGTACTGGCATTAAGGGAATACAAAGGAAT